GGATATGGCTGCATGAGTTAACCCGGGGAGATAAGCAGGACTACCTAAATAAATAATGAGAAAGAAATAAGAACTAAGCAAAAGCAGGAGAAATAATAAATTTTTTTCACTGCAGTCAAACATTGATCTCTCACTGTAAGACAAGATATTAAAACATCTTCAAAGGTCAGGGCTGGGGTGTAGTGAGTTAAACCAGTTCAAGACCCAGCAGCTCCACTTCTGATCCAGCTCCCTGATAATGTGCCTGGGAAAGCAGCAGAGGATGGCCCAAGTGTTTGGGCCCGTGCACCCACATGGAGACTCAGATGAAGTTCCTGGCTCTTGGCTTTGCCCTGGCCCAGCCCCGGCCGTTACAGCCATCTGGGGAGTGAACCAGCTGATAGATCTCTTTCTCCTTCTCTCCAACAATAAGTCTTAAAAAAAGGAGGGGGGAGTCTAATGCTGACATGATTTTTGCCATTTTCTTCTTTGCTTTTTTTTTTAAGATTTATTTATTATTTATTTGAAAGTCAGAGTTACACAGAGAGAAGGAGAGGCAGAGAGACAGAGAGAGAGGTATTCCATCTGCTGGTTCACTCTCCAATTGGCCACAACGGCTTGCAACTGTTTTATGGATTTTGTAGGCTACTTCTAACCTACACAAATGAAAAATACAAAATAATGAAAATAAGGATAAATGACCACTTTGATTTTGTGAGTGGCTTATTCAGTGATAAACCAAGTCCCCAAATCTAAAATCTGACATTTGATATTAAGGGTAAGAGTTACTTCCCTCACAGATCAGATCAATCAAGCTATAATACCATAGTCCCCATAGAAACTAGCTTACGAGCCAGTTACCATCCCAGTATCTCCAAGTTCTGAGACACCAAACAGCTCATTCTTTGCTGCACCCCTTCTGCATCTTGCCAATCAAGGAAAAGAAAATACAGGGAGATCTTTTAGGGGCTTGGCAATGGCCTGAATCAGTTCCTCACATATCTCAGGGACCAGCCTACAGACACACGGCCCCACGCAGCTGAAGGGAGGCAGGGAAATGCAGTCTAGCTTTATGGGAAGAAAAAAGAACAGAGTTTTGGTTAGCTTTTGCAATGTTATAAGTTAACTCAAAATTTAGTGCCTTAAAACAGGATTCATTCTCTGTTTCTGTGGATCAGGAATTTGGAAGCGTCGCCAGGTACTTCTGACCCGGGGACTCATGAGGTTGCAGTGGGATGTTGACTAGGATCCTAGTCATGTGGAGGTCTGACTTGGCTGGGCAGTCTCCTTCCAAGGTGGTTTGTCCACACAGCTTGACAGCATTGCTGACTGGTGGCAGGCCTCCGTTGCTCTCAACACAGACCTGCTCAAGTGTCCTTGGCCGTAGTGGCTGGTTTACCTGAGTGTCTTAGTACTAAACAGGGTGGCTTATAAACAACATTTACTTCTTACTTCCTCTTGGCTGGTAAGATCAAGTAAATTGTCAGATCTAGTTTTGGTGAGAGCCCACTTCCTGGTTCATAAGGAGCTATCCAGTCTCATTCTGTAAGGACACTAATCCCATTGATGAGAGTCTGTCCTCACCATCTAATGATCTGCTAAGATCCTACCACCAATCAGAGGTTAGGCTTTGCAGCATCCAGTAGGTGTTCGGCCTATTGGTATGACAGGGGTTAAGATCTTTGTATCCCATGTTAGAGTATCTGGGTTTGATACCCACTACCAGATCCTGACTCCAGCTTCCTGCTAGAGTAGACCCTGGGAGCAGCAAGTCATGGCTCAGGTAATTCAGTTCCTGCCATCCACATAGGAGACTTGGATTGAGTTCCCAGCCCATCATTGTGGGTACTTGCTAAGTGAACCAGCAAATGGAAGGGCTCACTCGCTCATTCTCTTCCTCTCACATAAGTTAATTTAAAATCTTTGTTAAATTTGCTTATTTTTTTAATTTATTTATTTATTTATTTATTTTTTTGACAGGCAGAGTGGACAGTGAGAGAGACAGAGAGAAAGGTCTTCCTTTGCCGTTGGTTCACCCTCCAATGGCCGCCGCGGCTGGTGCGCTGCGGCCGGCGCACCGCGCTGATCCGATGGCAGGAGCCAGGTGCTTCTCCTGGTCTCCCATGGGGTGCAGGGCCCAAGCACTTGGGCCATCCTCCACTGCCTTCCCTGGCCACAGCAGAGAGCTGGCCTGGGAGAGGGGCAACCGGGACAGAATCCGGCGCCCCGACCGGGACTAGAACCCGGTGTGCCGGCGCCGCTAGGCAGAGGATTAGCCTAGTAAGCCGCGGCGCCGGCCATAAATTTGCTTATTTTAAAGGCAGAGTTACAGAGAGAGACAGAGACAATCTTTTTTTTTTCTTTTTTTTTTTGGACAGGCAGAGTGGACAGAGAGAGAGAGAAAGAGAGAGAGAGAGAAAGGTCTTCCTTTGCCATTGGTTCACCCTCCAATGGCTGCCGCGGCTGGTGCACTGCGCTGATCCGAAGGCAGGAGCCAGGTGCTTCTCCTGGTTTCCCATGGGGTGCAGGGCCCAAGCACTTGGGCCATCCTCCACTGCACTCCTGGGCCATAGCAGAGAGCTGGACTGGAAGAGGAGCAACCGGGACAGAATCTGGCACCCTGACCGGGACTAGAACCCGGTGTGCCAGCGCTGCAGGCAGAGGGTTAGCCTAGTGAGCCGCGGCGCCGGCGACGGAGAGAATCTTATATCCACTGGTTCATTCCCTGAATGGCTACAACAGTCAAGGCTGGGCCAGGCTAAAGCAAGGAGCCTAGAACTCCAAGTCTCCTAGGTGGGTGGCAGGGACTCAAACACTTGGGCCATCTTCTGTGGCATTCCCAGGTTCATTAGCAGGAAGCTGGACTGGAAGCAGAGCAGCTGTAGCACAATGCTGGCCCCCTTTTTAAGTCATTCTTTATTGTGACATTAATTCCCTTGATCCTTCCCCAAGAAAAAAATATACAGCCATAAAAATAGTAGGGAAGGTCCAGCTGTGGCGCAGCAGGTTAATGCCCTAGCCTGAAGCGCCGGCATCCCATATGGACGCCAGTTCAAGACCTGGCTGCTCCACTTCCAATCCAGCTCTCTGCTATGGCCTGGGAAAGCAGTAAAGATGGCCCAAGTCCTCGGGCCCCTCACCTGTGTAGGAGACCCGGAAGAAGCTCCTGGCTCCTGGCTTCAGATTGGCGCAGTTCTGGCCATTGCAGCCAATTGGGGAGTGAACCACCGGATAGAAGACCTCTCTCTTTCTGCCTCTCCTCTGTGTGACTCTGACTTTCAAATAAATAAATAAATCTTTTAAAAAAAATAATGATCTCTAAAAAAAATCCTCTTGGGATTGAGAAAGGCTTTTTAATTAAATTCATTACAAATGGATGTGTTAGCTATACAAATATTTTAAACACCATAAACAAAGTAAGGAGGCAAATAACAAACTAGGGGAAAAATTGTTACACATCAAGGGCCAATTTCCCCAATTAAAAAAACTTGAAAAAAAATCACTAAGAGAGGCTGGTGCTGTGGCATAACAGGTAAAGCCACCGCCTGCAGTGCCAGCATCCATATGGGCACTAGTTTGAGTCTCAGCTATTCCACTTCCAATCCAGCTCTCTGCTATGACCTGGGAAAGCAGTAGAAGATGGCCCAGGTGTTTGCGTCCCTGTACTCATGTGGGAGACCCAGAGGAAGTTTCTGGTTCCTGGCTTCAGATTGGCCCAGCTCTGACCATTGCAGCCATTTGGCGGGTGAACCAGCAGATGGATGACCTCTCTCCCTCTCTCTCTCTCAGCCTCTGTCTATCTGTAATTCGTTCAAATAAAAATAAATAAATCTTTTTTAAAATAATCACTAAGTATAAGAAAATTAGAAAAACAATTTTCAATTAAATATGTCAAAACCTTACTAAAGATCTTTTTAGAGATCTAGAAGAAATCCATATGCACAAAGAGAATGGAAGAGGAGACAAAACCAAACAAGAAATGTCAAGTGAACTTTGGAAGCTGCAAACTGCTTACATGAAGGAAAACTACACCAGTTATAGAACTCTAGGAAGGGTCCATGTCAAGACTAAAACCGGGCCGGCACCGTGGCTCACGAGGCTAATCCTCTGCCTGTAGCCCCAGCACCCCGGGTTCTAGTCCCGGTCGGGGCACTGGATTCTGTCCTGGTTGCCCCTCTTCCAGTCCAGCTCTCTGCTGTGGCCCAGGAGTGCAGTGGAGGATGGCCCAAGTGCTTGGGCCCTGCACCCGCATGGGAGACCAGGAGGAAGCACCTGGCTCCTGGCTTTGGATTGGTGCAGCGCCAGCCATGGTGGCCATTTGGGGAGTGAACTATGGAAGGAAGACCTTTCTCTCTGTCTCTCTCTCACTGTCTAACTCTGCCTGTCAAAAAAAAGAGACTAAAACCAGAAGGGTTGGTTGGCAATCTACAAAAGAACTCAGATTCTGATGTTTCCTCAATTCCATATAGCAATGTGTAGCTTCCAGTGAAAGATTCCATGACAGACCTTTCACCCCTTCCAGATTCTTCAAGATGAGAAGAAATGTGGGCTGGATATAAAGCATTCCCTGTTTCTAGATCCACTGTCATTTTCTGGACCAGTCACTTCAATGAGCCTATGCTCTTAGAAAATACGACAATGAAGAGTAGAAAATCTCCTCCTGGACTAATATTTTGAGATGAAAGGATATTCCTAAGTCAAAGCACTGAATTTAGGAATTCTTACAATTTGTTTTCCAAGACCAGTCAAGCTATTATCATTCTATGAATGCAATGTTCATATGTTGAGTCGTGCTAGGCAAATGAAACCTCTAAAACTATGAGCCCAACTCCCTACATTCCAACAAATACATTTTTTAAAATAATCAATTCAGAGAGACTATAAAAACCATGCAATAATGTCTTTTATTATGTATGTTTTTATTTTTCTCCAGTATTTCCTCAATCTGTATACATAGGCAAAAGTATGCTGTTTGACATTGGACTGCAAACTTTATCACTGCCTGGAAAAGGAACAATTGGCCCTAACACGTGCTTAACCAGGGGGCCAGTTCATCTGCCGACCCCCAAGAACGTGGAGATGAACGTGATAGACGGACTGTCCGCCATCGGAGCCCTCGTTCACCACCATTCGGTAACCCTTCTTTAGGCCCAGGTCAGCAGCACATTTCTTGCCAACAATCATTAAATGTCCAAGAAGCTGGAAAAGAAAAAAAAGAACAATAAGAACAAAGGATTTATGACTTCTTAGCATTGAATAACAAAATATCAAATTAAAAAACTCCAAGCTTGGGCAAATATTTGGAAAACTCAATCCCTATATAATTTAAAATTCATTAAGATTATTTATTTATTCAATACTAATCTCAATAAGGACATACATTTGTTACTCAATTTGAAAATATTTTTTCTTAAAGATTTATTTATTTGAATTACAGAGAGAGAGCGAGCAAGCAAGCGATCTTCCATCCACTGGTTCATTCCCCAGATGGCCACAACCACTTATGCTGGGCCAATCCAAAGCCAGGAGCTTCTTCCAGGTCGCCCATGTTGGTGCAGGGGTCCACGGACTTGGATCATCTTCCACTGCTTTCCCAGGCACATTAGCAGGGAGCTGGATTGCAAGCAGTCAAGCAGCCAGCTCGAACCGGCTCCCATATGGGATGCCAGCACTGTAGGGGCAGCTTAACCTGTTATACCACAGTACCAGCTCCAAAAACTTTTTATTTTAAAGATTTATTTACTTATTTGAAAGTCAGAGTTACAGACAGGGAGAGACAGAAACAGAAATCTCCCCCTCTACTACTACTATCTTCTACTCCCCAAATGGCTACAACAGTCAGGGCTGGGCCACGCCAAAGCTAGGAGCTTCTTCTAGATTTCCCCCATGGGTAGCAGGGGCCCAAGCACTCGGGCCATCTTCCAAAGCTTTTCCCAGGCCATTAGCAGGGAACTGGATCTGAAACAGAGCAGCCGGGACACGTACCAGCACCAATGTAGGATATCAGTATTGCAGGCAGCAATATATGCTGATATAAAGCAATACTTTACCTGCTGGCCCCCAGATTAAAAAACTTTTTTAAAAAAGATCTATTTATTTGAGAGGCGGAATTACAGACAGAGAGAGGGAAAAACAGACAGATCTTCCGTCCACTGGTTTATTCCCCAGATGGCTGCAAAAGCCAGAACTGGGCCAATCTGAAGCCAGGAGCCAGAAGCTCCTTCTGTGTCTCCCACATGGATGCAGGGATCCAAGAAAGCACTTGGGCTATTTGCGCTATCTTCTACTGCTTTTCCAAGCTATGAAGAGGGAACTGGACCAGCAGTGGGGCAGCCAGAATGTGAACTGGCGCCCATATGAGATGCCAGCACCACAGGCAGAGGCTTTACCTACTATATGCCACAGTACTGGCCCCCTGAAGCTTCCTATTTATACTCCAAGAGGTATTTAAAGTTTTCTAAATAAAACAAGATATCCTGCTTTCTTTGTATGGGGGAGTGTAACAATCAGGATAGGTTTGGTTGTACTGTGGTAACCACCCTGAAGTTTGGTTAACAACAAAATGTACAGAAGCGTCTCACATTCTCTACATGTTCATCACAAGCTAACTAGGCTATAGATTCCACATCTTTTTCAGTTTCTGATCTAGACTGATAAAGCAGTAACAGAGTAAAAAGGGAATAAAGCAAACCAAGTACTGGCTTTTAACATTTCTATTCAACAGACACTTATCACTTCTGCTTGGATTCACTGGCCAAATCAAATCTTACAACTAGGCCTGCCTTTACTAAGGCAGGAAGTATAATTATCCCT